CCAAAGCACCCAAGGGTCGACCCTGGGTCTGCGGGCTGCATCCATCTTTCTCCATATACAACAGACATATGAATGTGTCTGCACACAGCGAAAAAAAATATAGATCTGAGTAAGTGATATCTTCATATGACCAAACACTAGTTGCGTACGCCACGAGTGCATGCATTCTCGCCACGAGCAGAGTCAGAGGTTTTCAAGGACCCCATACTAATCGTACCGAGTAGGGCACGTGTTTGGACACCGCGACCAAAGCGCAAAAGAGGACGTGAATTTGTATGGCAAAACATGAAGCAAAAATCGAGACGCTCATCTTTTTTCGACCTTGGCGGGCTGAGGCACGTAATGAGGCTCGTGCTGGTTCTCGGAAATCGTCAGGCAGGTCGTTAAAGACACGGGTGGAGGCAACGATGTCACCACCCAGCTGTCCACTTTGCAGGACGTGCCCTGCATTAGCATGGGGCGTCGCAATCACGTCAGCAAGCCTACGACCACTAGCAGTGTCGTAGTTTGAAAATAACCTTGTGCAATATCAAGACTTACTTGGAAAGTGCTGTTTCGGGTTGATATAGCGTCGAATTCGGATATGCGAAGCCTAAAGAAAATTCACGGCAGCTGCAGGCCACTGGCGCAGGCAATGTGAGTCGCGAGCGTTGCGGGCACCTGGGCGACTTAGGGCAGGGGACGTTGTTAGATATTGGGCGTTATGGGTCAGATGTAGTACATGTTCATGACCAGAAAACTCTCCATGGCCAACGCAGAAATCAATCTCAACCCTGATCTTCGCAGAAACCCCCTAGACAGCATCCATGAAGGGCTTCATCTCAGTGTGAAGCTAGGGAAAGAGTCGCAAATCGAAAACATACACCGCACGCCCACCCGAAATGAATCCCAAGAACGTGAGTTCTTGCAGCGAACCATCTCTAATTGCATGTCCGAGAAATGCAGGGTTGCTTTGCTCTAGGGTGAGGATGATCGACATGATTCTCCAAGCTTTGGCAAGAAATCGGCCTTTGCTAGTGCATGAACACGGGAGCTTGCTAAAGGAACCTACGCAGTCCATGCAGAGGATCAATAAAACATCCCGAGGTTTGAATGTGTCGATCAAAAGCATGCTTCTGAAACCTCAAACGTTCGTCCCAACCATTGGCCGAGAGTCTTGGAATCTTCAGGGCTACAAGCAGCGGCGCAGCAGGAAGCGCCAGCTCAACGACCTTCCGGTTTTCGGGATTGACCATCTGCGTTACTTTGTCGAACTTGGGGAGCTAGCGGACTGTGGCAAGTTTCAGAACCAGCATCCACAGACGCCGACTATGGCTGTTTAAGCAGCCCAATTTTATGCTTTACATGACTGCAGCGTTGCTCATCAGGTGAGCGCCAAAGAACCAAATTCAACCATTTGGCAACCCTTTGCATTCATGATGCATTCACTGTGCAATCTAATCCCCCAATCTCAATAGCAAGGCAGCCCAGCCCTCATGCGGGCCTTGTATCCGGCTTCGCCCACTATCGGCCGCTGCGCAAATAGCTCCCCTGGCCTTGTCAGGTTCCAGGGTTCTTTGGATGCGACGTGATGCGCCCATGCAGAGCAAACATGAAGGCCCATCCGTGCCATCTGCTGCCCAAGCGCTCGCATGCCGGAACACATTCATTAATGTCTGTAGAGTCGTGAAATGAGAACTCTGCAGCGCGGACTCTCTCAGGGCGCTTGGGCCACAACGCAGCTCTCAGTGTGCACGGGTTTCAAGCTGAAGGGGGTGTGCTTTCCACTGCGGCGAGCTAAGAGCAAGCTCTAGCTGCCCTTCCCACTGTACGCTGGGAGTCCAGACAACTTGAAGCTCCAGGACCCCAGGATCGACCTACGATTCTGTGCAGATGCTTTCCCTGGCACTCCAAGTTCCCCCGAAAACTCAAACCTCCTGGCACTCCACCTCCTGAAGCCCAGGTTCACGATCTAGCATGTGACGTACAAGCGCTCCCAAACCTCCTGCCTCCCCATGTGAACGCAAAAGGCCCGTCGGCGGGGCGTGGACAGGCAAATGGGCCCAGGCTGGACAAAGCCATCGGGCTTGCCTTTGAGAGTCCAAAGGGCTGGGGATCAGTGCGTGGAGCATTTATATCTAGCACTCGAAGCTCAATCGAGGAGCCCGCGCAGAACAAAAAGCCACCTCTCAAACCGAGGTGTTCTTGCCACAGTGATCCGCAAAATAGCAAGGCCAAAAAGCAAGTGACACTAACTCCCCCAAAACCATCCAACAACCCAACGCCACGAATCATTGTGTTAAAAATCAGCGAGGCTGGAACAGGAAGAAAACTAACTTCAACCACCAATAGCAAACGGACAGAAGCCTTCTCCACCTCCTCAAGGACAAATCAGAGGGCGAACGTTGAAGGATGTCGAAGATTTGGGCGTGGAATCAAAGAAATCAAGCCCTCAACTTCGGGGCTCCTCAACTTCCTCAAGTCGAAAACTTCCACAAGTCAATCTGGGCAACAGCCCTTGCCACAACCGCCGAAGCCGGCTCGCGCAGCTATCTCCTCACGAAGCACCGAAGTTGTGAGTTCCGGGGGTTGCGCCGACAGAAATGGCAAGTTCAGGCAAGCTGTAGGCTTTCAAGTGCGCAAGCTCAGTTTCGGAACTTAGCGTGCGGGAAGAACATTTGTCTGGTGCACGTGTCCTTTGGATTTTAACAGCATGCCAAGTAGACCCCCAAACCTTAAACACGAACACTTGTCCCATTTCCAACCTTGACCTCCAAATCCCATGAGCCCTGACCCCTATAGAACTTTCCCGCAACAAGACAAACCACACGGGCATGCACATACTTACACTTACACTTACACATACTCATATCCGTACACGTACGCTTGCACTTTAACACTTTGTTGCGAGCGAGTGTCCAATGCAATCTCTTTGGAGATCCGCGCGACAAGCCTGTCTGCAGGCTAGCAGAGTTAGATCCGAAAATCATCTAGAGAGAAGGCCGTGATTGGGCTAGGTTACTCTAGGGTTTGTATGAGTGCTGGCGCCGTATTCCTAAGTTTCTCTGTTCCAGGTCCCAGCACTAGTACCTATCATCTTAGAGGGGGGTATTGGCTGGCGCTGATGGACTGGTCTTCCGGGCTGCTCATTGCCTACGCTGATGAATGACACTGCAACGGAAAGTTAACTTAAGTGTTGTTGATTTGCCCATGCTCACAACTTAGGGTCTAGGGGGAGTGTGCTACTTGCTTATGCTGACGCAATTCAGCCAACTGGAGTGTTGGATGCTTGCGCATTTGGTCTGAGAGGCCAACTGAAGCGCTACTACTGTTGCTTGTGCATGGAGGTGGGAGCTCGTTGCAAGAAAGGGTTTGTCGCAAAGGGAGGTTGTTGCAAAAAGCACGGCGCTGTTGTAAGACTATGTCGCCAAAAGAAGCCTGAGGCCCACCTGCCAAGTTCGAGAGACCTTCTCGTCACAGACTGGATTGGTGTTGGTGGTGTGAGGTGTGGTTGGTTTGCATGGTTTGGGTGTTGTGGATGGTGTGGTGGTGGTGGTGGTGGTGGTGGTGGTGGTGGGTGGGGTGACATGGAGTGGATGTGTAGGTGTGGGCGCGGTTGAGTCTTGTGAATGCTGCAGGTGGTGCGTGGTGCGACTATGCGATGTCAGTGTGAGTGGAGGGAGGGGAATTTAGGGATGGGTGAGGCGGATAAGGTGGAAAGGGGGGCGCGATAGGGAGCATAAAGGCACACTGGGAGGAGAACAAGCAAAATCCAGATCCGCGTTTGAAACAAAACCCAGATAATACCCACCAAACTATATTAGTAGCTCCGAAAATCCCCACCCTACAGCTACCTGATGTTGGAGCCATCCTGCCGTTCTCTGACAGGTACTTCTATTGAGCCCCGCCGAGTATCTTTGGAGTGCCCACCCCCCACAGAGAAGCCTGCCAGAGTATCAATGGAGTGCCCGCCCCCAGAGATTCCGCGCAGAGGCTTACCCCGTAAGCACCTGTCCGGTCCGAAAACTTCAGGATGTCTTTGAGCTCAATCAATGCATGCCGGGTGGCTTTGCCACAGCCATGATCCTCGGCTTGCTGGTGTGATAGAAGAAATACCTGTTATCTTTTCAGAGACTATCCTCGAAAGCGTTCAACCGCAGCCTCTCCGTGTACTTCTTGTCACCCATGTCCGATCCCAAGCGTCTTCTCCATCTTGGTGACGGGTACCGGATCTGGGGGCTCTGGCGGCTCCATAACAGGGACCTTCTGCAGATGTCTGGGCTGAGGCTTCTGCTGCTCTTATTTGAGTTTAGGAGCAAGGGAGGTTTTCGGAGCAAGGTCGAAGTTAAAGTGTCCCTGAAGTTAAGGCAGCTCAGGCACATTAGGGATCAAAGACTTCAGGCAAATACCCGCTCACTCCATAAATCCCTTACTCAGTCTTGCCCTCTTGCCCGCTCACCAGTACTTCAGCCTTGAACACCCCTGAGCACCATGACAAGGCATGCACGAGAAGGCCAGAGCAAATGCCAGACTGTCCCATGCTTGCCCCAGTATAACGCTGTAGCCACGCTTAGTTTAGGTCTAGGACGACAATTTTGCAATGATGTTCTACATACCCCTCCTTTGCACACTTTGCGATGGGCCTGTGTAGTACGCATGTAGAAGTTGGTATGTTTGTGAACGATCCCATCCCCTAATTAACCCAGGACATCCCGAAACCGGAGCCTCAAATCCCTGAGCCCTAGAACCCACAAGCAACTCGAAAGCCCATCCCGAAGTCCCCAAGATCAGATGCAGTATCTGCCTCGCACATAACCACCAAGTCCCGTACCGTCTCTAAAGCCTTAAACAGCTCACGCAACTCAGACAACTCGAACAACCCAAACCCTAAACCCTAAATAAACCCTGAACCCTAAACCCGAAACCCTAAACCCTACCCTGAACCTCAAACCCTGGACCGTAACCCTCTGAGCTTCCGGGGAGCCGGTTTCTCGTACAGCGCCTCGCACTTTGCACTGAGATCCCCGTTGAAGATGTTCTCCTCAAGGTCGCTCGGACGCACTCAAGGGTTTTTTTTTGTGTTTGTTATTTTTTTTTTTGGGGGGGGGGGGGGGGGGGGTTAAGGGTTTTAGAGGTTTAGGGATTTAGGGGGTTTGAGGGTTTGTGGATATGTGGTTTAAGCATGTGGGCAGGATGTGGGACTTGCGGCTCTGGCTACTGGGTTCCAAGACGACTACGAACAGAACAGAAGCCCTCGCACTGCTCAGGGCATACATACAGAAGCGCATGTGGGTGCGCACAGCCAGGTATTTTTGAAGTTGCAAGTTGCAGGTCAGCCACCAAAGGCCTACTTTGCCAGGGCTTGGAGCTACAGGCGATCAACATGCACGAGATGTTATGCTCACAAAAGTACTGCAAATTGCAGGGTAACATTTGCATCGCCCTGACCGTGTTCTGCTTAGCAGCTAAGGTGGGCAAGGATTGAAGCTCACTCTTGCGAGCGGCTGGAGTTGCCCACCGAAGCTCTCGTGCGAAGTACGGGCACTTCATGAGCTCCATGAGGATTGCCACCAATCGCCCCTCCTTGGCAAGGGCCTGATTCTTTTGGGCCAGACGGAGCTTACGAGCAGCTTGCTGAAGTGCTGCGCGCTGAGCATCTCTCTACAAGTCACCTTGATCTTCGTGATGATGTTTGAGAGGTCCGCGCCGTTGAGTTGTACTGAACCGTCTAAGACAAAGACTCTAGCCCAGTGCAGTCTCTGATAGTAGCCGATGCCCACAAATCCTCCAGCGATCTTCGAGTAGGAGCAAAGCAGGACTTAACCCTAAACCCCTGAACCCTAAACCCTATTCTCCCTAAGAATGGGGCTCTAACGTGGTTTCGGAATGCCTGAGGAGGTCGGTCACTTGATCTTGTTTTGAACCCTCCTGGAGTATAAAACTCTGATGGGCTGGGGTTCCGAGATTCTACCTTGGTCTCTTTCGGATTCTGAACTGCAGACCGCAAACCTTGAACAAAACTCGACGGGTCCTGGATACAGCAGCGCTCCCACGCATCGCCATCACTGTAGTGAATGAAAACCCTGTCCTTGCAGAAAGAGATACAGCTAGGGAAGCTGAACGAGGGCCGAGCGTTCAGGAGCTCCAGCAACAGCAGTGTCTACGAAGAACCTACAAACCTGAACTCCTCATTCATGGGCAAATGCTGGCGTTTATTCTCCAACTAGCGGGAGGGTCTTGCTTCAGGGTCTAAAGCTAATACTGTAGTTAGAGTGTACATCGAGGTGTAGCCTTTAGGCGTTAAATGGTTTGGGTTGCAGGGTGACGCGTGGGGCATCAAAAGCGCTTTAGGCATAAGGCGCATGGTTCTTGTTTTAGTGGGCGACATACTCTTTCAGGTCCAATGCCAGTCCTTGCTAAGCTTGAACTCCAAAACGCCGAGGGCATCCCGGCCTAACCCCCACTATGCCGCATCCTGCAGGGGACACATCATCACCGAGGGCCGCATGGTCTTGTGCTCCAAAGCTTTGTGGATGCGTCTGCACTCCTCCTGCGGGAGGACACCGTTGAGGCGTCACTTTTAGACAAGCTGCAACATTTCAGACCTGGTGATCTGCAAACATAGACTTCCCCCCAAGCTTCAGCATACCGAGAATTTCGGGTTCTGGGGGCCTGGGGTTGGTGCAGTCCTGATGTGGACGACAGTTCTTTGCTGCACCTGACACAAGGCAATGACCAGTTCGTCTCGAATTTGGAACAGAAGCCAAGAGCCCCTGACGCCTGAAGCAGGCACCTCATTTCAACTCCCCCAAGCCCCACTCCACAACAAATCGGCAGGCACTTGAAAAATGGAGCTGACCTCCAAAAGCTTGCAACTGAAGATAACTTGCCCTCGAGCCTTTCATCATGTCATTTCACAAGCTAGAGCCCGAGACCTTACGCTCCCATACGCTCCCTAAACTCTACAGTCGCAGCCCCTGTCTTCCACAGAAGACCTGGACCACGTTTCAGAGAGCTCTGGCTCCATGTTCCGGCTACTACTACTACTACTACTACTACTACTACTACTACTACTACTACTACTACTACTA